GTACACGCGACACGAGGAACAACATCATAACAGCCCTTCTGGGCGACAACCGGGCCACCGTCATCACGCCGACGACAGCAGCCCTTCGGGCCGGAATCATCAACGCCCCTCGCAGCATTCGCCACAAAGCCCTTCAGGAAGGACTACATCGCCCTGTGGGGACCGTTCTATCGACGATCGCAGCTCCACGGATGCCGGGGATGCCGTCTTCGATTCTTTTGGCGACATGTGTATCAGTCCCTCAGGCCGAACTTTCTAGTTGTTTGTCTTCCTGTGTCTACTGTATGTAGACGTTGCATTTCGTGTTTCCCGAGGATCGGATGTATGTGTTGTTTTTTTATTGCGTACCCGCGTCCATCACGACCATTATTGCGTAGTGTGTCGGCTAATTAAGGTCCCTTCCCGTTCGTGGTGTCAGCACACGCGCAACACGCGACTAAAATAAAAATAAAAAGCTTGGGACTAGCAACGCCGACGATATTCGTCGGCTTGCTTTCAACAATAGGAAGTAATAAGGAAGCAGATAAGGTGCACCGGAAAAACACAGCCGTAGTACTACGTGGTAGGCAGCCGTGCGTGATAGGTCAACAGTCGCGTAGGGTATGTCTCGACAGGAGTGCTCCAGTAGCGGCGCAGGTGGACACCGTTGCCCCAGTCAACAGTAGTGTTAAAGCCGCAACAGGCGCGGATAAAGTAAGACTAGCCGTCGAACGATATACGTAGCTACAGTAACTGGAGGTCTCAAGTCGAAGCATGGGTCGAGAACTTTGACTGCCGACAATGATAATGAGGAATTTTCTGCATTTCACATGTCAGCGCTAGCTGGATACCCTGAAAATCCATCTGCGTTGAATGCTGCGTCAAAACGGGTACGCATTCCTGCCAGAATCAACAATCAATCGGTTGCTGAAATTACAATCGATACAGCGTGTGACATACTATGCATATCTGCACAATTTATGCGTCGTCACCAAACGTTGAAAAACACGGAAATATTTCCCATGCGTCCCGGAGCAATAAATCTGCGAAGCGCAGATGGCTCACCTCTTAAAATTTTGAACTAACACTGGGAGAAATAACCAGGGTACACCTCGGTACTAGTTTTTTAGGCGGATCCAGGCGGGGCGGTACGTCAATGTGGCGGTACTTTTTTGGCGGTTGGCGGTATTTCGTTTTCCGGCGGTACCGCCTTTGGCGGTTCCCGGTACTGCCAATAATGGCGGTACTTTTTTGGCGGTACGTCAATATGGCGTTTTTTTTAGGCGGTTCCCGGTACTGCCAAATACGGCGGTATTTTTCTGACGGTACTGAAATATGCCGGTACCGCCTTCGGCGGTTCCCGGTACTGCCAAATATGCCGGTATTTTTCTGGCGGTACTGAAATATGGCGGTACCGTCTTCGGCGGTTCCCGGTACTGCCAAATATGGCGGTTTTTTGGTGGCGGTACTGAAATATGGCGGCACCGCCTTCGAGGGTTGAGACCAGAATATCAAAATATCAAAATATAATATATGGCGATGCCAAACTACATTTCGGTGCCCTTGGCGCCCCATCAACCGGCGAACCTCTTTCCTCTCTTTCGAGATGGGTCTCTCTTTGTCTCTTGTATGTACGCTTGAGAGCCTAAATCTCCCATATGATTTCGTGAGATGCGATGCATACCCATGGTCAAATCGACCTGTTCATGGACAAACGAAAGGCAACCAAAAGAAGAAAGAAAATGCAAAAAGAGAAGAGTGCGCCAAAACGCGATCCGTCGAATGCCACGGGTGTGTTCGAACAGCTGACGATCGGCGACAGATGAAAGAGGTTCCGCCGAAAAGGAACAAGGCAGAACCAAAAAAAAAATAATACTTACAGGATGGTCGTCGTGACGTGACACATTTCTTGTTATTAGTATGGAAAAAAAAAAAAATGGCTGTGATATTATTTTTCGTACAGCGGTATGGACCAGACGCCGACTGTACATAGAAGTTGGCGAGTGTCGACTGAGTTGTGTTGTGACGGCATCTTCCACGCACTTCTGCCAGCGCTGCTTTGTTGTTTGGAGTCTTGTAGGTCGAGATACAGCTGTGGGATTCTCGAGTTGTGGAGGCAAAAGTATGCCTGCAGCCACAGCAAAAAATTGCATGCATAGCTCGACTACCGTGCTGCTGTGTTTTTACTACAGACCAACTGGATGGGATACTTCCTGCCACGGCTAACCATACTACAATGCGATGTAAACATCCGTTCTTGTGTCGTGCGGCTGCTTCGTGTATCGACGACAGATACACACGCAGGGCTCTCGCGACGTTGTCGTTATTGCGCGGGAGGACCCCCCCGAGATCTTCCACATATATGGTGCTCCGACGACGGCAGTACTACTGTGCATAGATGTTGTAGGAGAGTGGAGTTGTGCTGTCACGGCATCTTTCCCGCACTCTCCTACCGGTGCTTGCATCATGCAGTCTTCTACGCTGGAAGACGAGAGTGGTTTGGGTTCCCGTTTTGGTTGTGCAGCAAACGTGCCTGCAACAACAGAGGGTACGGTGTTCTATTTATTTTTATTCCGCTCACCTTTTTTTTTTTTTTGCGACATGATGCAATTTTTTTTTTCTTCTGAATATGACACAACGAATCCATCTCTGTCATAGGTAAGAGTCAGAGTCAGATTAGCAATGAATTAATAGGGTCAGAAAAAGCTACCTGTATGTCTACGATTTCCCAGACAGCATATAGGGACATGTATGTCCCCTGCGGTATTTTTCCATTGTCCTTTGGCACTGCCAAGAAGACCGCCGTATCTTTACGCAGTCCAACTTTTGCTTATATCATTTTACATCGAACGGCGGGGGACGGGTCGCGACCTTCATCATGCCCACCTGCGACTATCGTATCGACGAGACGCCGACTGATCATGGTCGTAAGAGTGTGGAGTTAGCTATGTTGTGACCGCATTTTCTACGCCCTACCCCGTCCGATACATACAGCGGCGACTATGCAAGCAAGTGTCCGTGCAACAACGACAAAAAAAAAACGCGTCCATGCATATACATGTAGATAAGTCGATATATATATATCTGTTTTTGCTTCACAGCAGGACAACTTCAGGTTGACATTTTTGTTTGACACCACCGGAGGCCGGTGGATCTTTACGAAGTCCATGTTCCGTTTTATTTTTTTTAACGATTTTACCCCGGAGACGCAGGAAAGGATAAAATGAATGGCAACATGTACCACTTCGTGACGTCACATAGATAGGATGACAAAAGAAAAGTTGGAAAAGAAGAATACGGTAACCTGTAGTCTATTTCACATTAAATTTGTTAGTACACGCCGGACTTCTTCCACACATCTGGGTTCGAATCCAAACACCAAACTGGAATACCCTAATATTATCGATCGCCCTCGACAATTTGGGACGTTTGCCACCAGTTCGTCGTCCTCCGGCGTCCGACCCATTGAATATACCTCCTGGAGTGAGTACGCGAACAACTCATCACAACACTACACCGTAGTTCTCCACCAGAAGACCCAAAAACGTGTCGCAGGCGCTGCCAATTGAAATGGCTTTCTTCTTTGATGTACCCGCGAAGATTTGCATCTTTTTGGGGACGGCTGCAGTGGTTATTCAATCAACTGCCATCACACTAGACATGCCGTGAGGATGATGCGTACTGCGGAACTACAGGAAAGACCGAGTACGTGTTGGAGTCCATGCCAACTGCAAAGGGCAACAAAAACGATGATCGTGCGCCTGAGTGTCCCAAACATGTAATACTATCAGGTTGAAACAGCCGGACGCCAAGTGTGGAAAAAGGCTCGTATGACCCGACTTTCGGTGCACATCAGCATCAACTGATGAAGTAAGCAGTATGACACCGACACAGCAATCGGGAAAAATTGAATATTTTTATTGGGCCTTCCTAAAGATTCCGAAAGACGACACGCACGTCGTTCACACGTCCAGCCCCACCAATAGGTTTCTAGCGCTCAACCCTACCACACAGCAACCCAGTGCTTTACCACGCACTGTACACCCCAACTCATGACCGATCCAAGAGATCGCGGCAACAACCGCCGTCGAGACGACACAAGCACAAGGAACCGCCGGTACCGAGTTGTCAACGCCACCGACATAAACACGCGTCGAGGGGCTCAGCGTGCTGCCTCCGCCGATGCCCTCAACGCCCATCGTAGAGCACAATACTCCGCGTCGGCAGAGGCCATCAACAGCCGTCGTACAACTCGCCATGCCGACAGAGCACAACAGCTCAACGCCGCACGTCGACGGCGTAGAGCGACCGTCATCAACAACAAAAGGGGGTTGCCCTTCAACGACATCTTTCACGCCGAGGACGACTCCATCTCACTACGAGCCATTGTTGGAGACCGCCAGCGAGCCTTGGAGGAGACGCGACGAGACCAGGGCATCACAGCGCAGACCGGAGATCCTTGCCGGCATTGTGGCGGCAAACTGTTCGCTAAAGAGTCCAAGGGCATTTGTTGCAAGAATGGGAAGTACATCCTCCCGCGACTGCCGCCACTACCCCCTTCATTGAAAGAATCGTACGATTCTCCGGAGCCATCAGCGCAGAGGTTCAGGAAGGAATCGAGGATGTATAACTGCCGATGCAACTTCGCCTCGCTCAACGTGGAGGATGGTGAACTCAAAAAAAAATTCGGTGACCATCTCTTGTCCGTCCAAGGGAGGTGAGATCGATTCACATGTGCAACGATATATGCTACGATTGTATAACTAGGTATAGATTCATTCGTGTGGTCTTTCATTTCTATTTTCCTTCGTGGTTTAAAACGAATGATCCACGTTTTTTTGTCGGGATTCTTACCTTTTCATATCTAATGGGCTGGTGCGTAATCGAAATCCGTCGACTCCTGCCTCCGCTCCCCCCGTCCCACCTCCCCACAACGACACAGCGACATTCTTCCCGACGTCCCTCCCACAACCCTCCCCGACACTCCCACAAGCTCCCCCACACCCGTCCACGACATCGACATGGCTCCTACGACGCGTGGCAAGCGCACTCCCAGCGCCAAAGCAAAGGTACTCTTGCCGTTTCCACGCAACGTTTTTACACAATACCAGCGCCCGCCGACCCATTCGTGCGTCTTGCCTTCACGCGACCACGTAGAAGCCCATGATCACGCCTTCCCCCAAGACACGGCCCGAACACGACTCATACGTTACCACCTCCATACCTTGTACACCCACCTTCCCTATCGTCTTCTTGCGAAGCGGACACCGCTGATAGATTTTGTGAAAACCTCTTCAAACGAATTTGTCTACTTTGCACACCCTTACTCAAAGCCGAAGATTTCTCACCCTGTGTCCGTCCCTCCTTCCCTTCTTCGTTCACGCCTCGACGTCCTGTTTAGGCCGCCTTCGCCACCGCCAGCACGGGAGCGACGCCAACCAAAAATACAACCTCCCCCAAGAACGGGAAGGGCAAGGTCCACCATCCCCACGTGAGTACGTTTAGCACGTAGATACCGTCCACAAAGCAACTTACGGCGTTCCGCAATATTCGTTTTTTTTTAAAGTATTTTCTTTGTCGCGCGCATGCGTGCGTAGTCCTCCGTTTTTCCAACAGCCTCAACCTTGCCCATGGCGCGTCCGGGAACTTCGACCACAACGACATTTCTCGGCCCCCGTCTCCAACCGAACATTGCTAGCTCTAATTCATGTGCGCGTTCTGTGCTTCCCGTGCGACACAACACAGAACCTCCAACGGGTATGATATTCTATGACACGGTCGCGTTTTTCATCCCTGACTCTAGACATGCTGCCATGTGAACCATCGCCCTGTCATCCTTACAGCAAAACACATGAACGACGTGAGCCCATGCCTACAAATCCAACCATCACCCAACATTTTACTCCTCCTCATGCCAGCAGCTTCAGGTGTTCGTACCATGAAAACAACGTGCGCACGCCACCTGCCCTACGTCGTCTTGGGCGATCATTACCGATGTACGGATGTCGCGCCTGCAGGGATCAGGTGTACGTGTGTCCCCCAAATACCAAACCTGTCGCCCGACATCCACTCCCAAAACGTGTGAACCTTTCTGGCCGTCGAACGTCGGACTGCAACAACCTCTATGACCGACCGCGCACATGAATTCGTAGAATGAAGTGTGTACCAGCATCCTGTCGTGGTGTTGACGAGATCGACATCGACCTCTATCGGTTCAAAAACCCTTCAAAACTTCTCAACTTCGACAATCGCCGGCCAGCTGCTCCGAATATTTTTGTAGAGTCGAAAACTTACAATATTCTACATTACATTGGTATTGCCGCAACAATACCATTGATTATTGATCTACGGCAAGGTAAACGACAATAGCTCCTGCTCGGTATTGCTATTGTGGTTGGACTATCTGTATTCCCTACATCACACACTACTATGTATCTGCATACATGCGTTGCCTATAA